TGCATTGTATAAATTCAGTTTTTCCACATCCTACATGTATTTGCTAAATTTAAACAATGTTTATAAATCTCAGGCCCTGAAGATGATCTCAATAAAGATCGAAACGTTGGCACGATAAAGAAAATGTTTTTCTGAAACCTACATCACACCAGACCGCATCTCACGATTNAAGGCATTTCAACAGATAGAATTATGAGAGGTAAAATATATAAAAATAACTTGATAGTTAAATAAGTAGATGAATAATTTACAATTAATTAAGGTTTTTAGTTGAGATGCAAAAAAGTTAATGGCACGAGAGGGATTCGAACCCACGACCTTTGGCTTGATACGCCGCTGCTCTACCACCTGAGCTATCGTGACCTCGATCCACTCGGACATCAACTCCCCATCTCAACCTCACCTTATGAGTCTTCCCTCCTTTTTGCCATTTTTCAAATGCCGTGTAATCGGTTTGGAACGAAATTAGTGAATTTAATGAATTAAAATGAAGTACACTTCACTAAAGCTCTCCGTCGCCATTTCAATTGACGTCGAGAATCCAAACCGATTACACGACATTTGAAAAATGGCAAAAGGAGAGAAAACTCATAAGGTGGGGTTGAGATGGGGAGTTGATGTCCGAGTGGATCGAGGTCACGATAGCTCAGGTGGTAAAGCAGCGACGTATCTAGCCGAAGGTCGTGGGTTCGAATCCCTCTCGTGCCATTAACTTTTTTTCATCTCAACTGAAAACCTTAATTAATTGTAAAGTATTAATTGGTCAAGCGGACCACGAAATTATTGAAATTAGATGAATAATTTTATAGTTATGTTAATTTAGGATTTACATGGAAACATCGATAAATATACTTATCAAGTCGAGCAAGATAGTTAAGTAGAGAGGAAGGTAGTTAAACAGAAATATAAAAGAATAATAGATAGATAGATTTTTAAAATAATACCGATTGCTTACTGTTGGTTTATAAAGCAGTTTCCAACAAGTTTTTAGCTCATTATACACAATAAGTTATACAGTCGATAAAATACTGATTTATTCCTTATCTTTCCCTCATACTGATGGCGAAATATACAGGACGTGAATTTAACAAGGCAAAGGTATGGTAATTTGATACTACACTTGATATAATGATCAAGGATTTTCGTAGTACAAGGTATTTGCAGAGCTGTTTCGAATTATTAAAAGGAATATATTTTCAACAGTAGATTGACTTCATTAAAGCACATAAAACAACAAATAATCAGATGAATATCGATATTTAAATGAAATTGTCACAATTTTTACAGTGTTCAGCCGTCAAATTTGTTTCTAAAAAAGAACGCGATTGTTATATTTTTACAAAACTCGATAATAATTTTTAGAAAAAATGTATCAAAAATTAAGCTACAGATCAAAACGCAATCAAAGAAATGTGTGTTGGGAAAAATCCTAATCTGTCAAAATGTTCCAGATAGCAGTGATATTAAACCGTTTCGTAACAAGACTGCCATATCACCGCTACGTTTATTACAAAGACCGACATGATGACGACCATTTAAGAACACGGAGAAATATTATCAACAAACATTTGGTTCAGAGTAAACAATAAATAAATAAATAAATAAATATATATATATATATATATATACATATATATATTTATTTATATGTNCCTTTTATCCCGATAAACCCCAAATTTGAACACACAAGAATTCGCACCATGGCTAATATGCAAGATCATAAGGCCAATAAAAAAAAAAAAAAAAAAAAAAATATTATACAGTTCCTTGAGTAGAGGAAACTCAGGGAATCGATTCTACTCGTCGTTTGGAGCAAAAAATGCCCAGGAGAAAATTTTCGGAAAGTTCTCTATTTTGAAGATATTCGTCAATTTATGTTTTTTCAACTTTTCAATACCTTACCTCATGAAAACGCTTACAACTTCCAAAATGTTGAGACTACAACAAATCCAATTACACCATTTGCAAGAATGCTAAATTTTCTGTAAGATATTTCCATTTGCAATAATCTGAGTGAAATAAAATGTTAGCCAATATCAGTTGGAAGATGTCAACATTACAAAATTTAAAATTTTGTCATGATTGCACGTTCTACTGAGGTTACAAAAAAATACCTCCAACTTGTCAAATTTCACAAAAACCTTTTCATCTAATATACTTTACGTTGATATATCAAGGTTTTTAAATAACGCTTTAGTAGAGTTGAAAAATAACAACTGAATGTTCGAAAACGTGAGCTAAGGTAAATTTGAAAAGGGGGAGGTAGAAATAAAACAATTAGAACTCGCTTATAAGATAATAATATTAATTAATATTATTGTATTATTTTACAAAGCGAGTTCTAATTGATTTATTTCTACCTCCCCCCTTTCAAATTTACCTTCAGTTGTTATTTTTCAACTCTACTAGAACGTTATTTAAAAACCTGGATATATCAACGTAAAGTATATTAGATGAAAAAGTTTTTGTGAAAATTGACAAGTTGTAGGTATTTTTTTGTAACCTCAGTAGAACGTGCAATCATGACCGAAATTTTAAATTTTGTAATTTTGACATGTTCCAACTGATATTGGCTAACATTTTATATCATTCAGATTACTGCAAATGGAAATATCTTAAAGAAAATTTAGCGTTATTTCAAATGGTGTAATTGGATTTGTTGAAGCCTCAACATTTTGGAATTTGTAAGCGTTTTTATGTGGTAAGGTAGTGAAAAGTTGAAAAAACCTTAATAGACGAACATCTTCAAAATAGAGAACTTTCCGAAAATTTTCTCTTGGGCATTTTTTGCTCCAAACGATGGGTAGAATCGATTCCCTGAGTTTCGCCAGAAGGAATTCGGACACCCTGTATATAGTTTATAATATATATAGGGAATCGATATATACCATGAAAT